ATCTGAGATACCACAGCTTTGATCTGAGATTGCAGGATCCGAAGGCAGAGGAGCCACCAGTAGCCCATTGGGATCTACAAACATCGGGAGAGTCTTCTTCTTCTAGTGTTAGTGTACTTGTAAATTCAGGCCACAGCATCATCATCTACAGTGATCAGTGTTCTCAGTGCTACATCCAGTCTGCTGAGAGGAAAATCTCCCAATGATGCAACATACACCATTGGAAGAGGAGCAGCTACTGCTCAGTGACCAACCACTACACTGTAACATAGACTCCAGTAAAATATCCCATTTTGGTGAGAGAGGGCATGCAATGATGCATCAATTCATCAATTGACATTCAATATGGAGAATAGGTTTTCCCTTTTTCTGACAAAACAGGTGTTAAGCCTTTTGGCGTCCTCTGGTCTAACACCATTTTGAGACTAGGCTCAAAAGAAAGCTGTCTCTGGTGTGGACCAATCAGTTTCAAAGACAATGCATATATTATCAGAGTATGTTTTTTGTTTGCATTCTGACCGCAAGTATTGTGGTTAATGCAGACATGATTCCTTGTAAAAGGTTTCAGTTTGATGTTTTAACATCTTAACAAATGTTTTGTTGCCAGAAAAAAGGGGAAAACCTATTCTCATATTTTGGTACTGGCAAAGGAGGTCCTATGATGACATTCATTATTATCATGTTAATGATGTATATGCTGAATTGTGTACAAATGTGTTATTTGTATTCATACAGTGAGGGAAAAAAGTATTTGATCCTCTGCTGATTTTGTACATTTGCCCACTGACAAAGAAATGATCAGCCTATAATTTTAATGGTAGGTTTATTTGAACAATGAGAGACAGAATAACAACAACAAAATCCGGAAAAACGCATTTCAAAAATGTTATAAATTGATTTGCATTTTAATGAGGGAAATAAGCATTTGACCCCCTCTCAATCAGAAAGATTTCTGGCTCCCAGGTGTCTTTTATACAGGTAACAAGCTGAGATTAGGAGCACACTCTTAAAGGAAGTGCTCCTAATCTCAGCTTGTTACCTGTATAAAAGACACCTGTCCACAGAAGCAATCAATCAATCAGATTCTAAACTCTCCACCATGGCCAAGACCAAAGAGCTCACCAAGGATGTCAGGGACAAGATTGTAGACCTACACAAGGCTGGAATGGGCTACAAGACCATTGCCAAACAGCTTGGTGAGAAGGTGACAACAGTTGGTGCGATTAATCGCAAATGGAAAAAACACAAAAGAACTGTCAATCTCCCTCGGCCTGGGGCTCCATGCAAGATCTCACCTCGTGGAGTTGCAATGATCATGAGAAGGGTGAGGAATCAGCCCAGAACTACACGGGAGGATCTTGTCAATGATCTCAAGGCAGCTGGGACCATAGTCACCAAGAAAACAATTGGTAACACACTACGCCATGAAGGACTGAAATCCTGCAGCGCCCGCAAGGTCCCCCTGCTTAAGAAAGCACATATACATGCCTGTCTGAAGTTTGCCAATGAACATCTAAATGATTCAGAGGACAACTGGGTGAAAGTGTTGTGGTCAGATGAGACCAAAATGGAGCTCTTTGGCATCAACTCAACTCGCCATGTTTGGAGGAGGAGGAATGCTGCCTATGACCCCAAGAACACCATCCCCACCGTCAAACATGGAGGTGGAAACATTTTGCTTTGGGGGTGTTTTTCTGCTAAGGGGACAGGAAAACTTCACCGCATCAAAGGGACGATGGACATGGCCATGTACCGTCAAATCTTGGGTGAGAACCTCCTTCCCTCAGCCAGGACATTGAAAATGAGTCGTAGATGGGTATTCCAGCATAACAATGACCCAAAACACACGGCCAAGGCAACAAAGGAGTGGCTCAAGAAGAAGCACATTGAGGTCCTGGAGTGGCCTAGCCAGTCTCCAGACCTTAATCCCATAGAAAATCTGTGGAGGGAGCTGAGGGTTCGAGTTGCCAAATGTCAGCCTCGAAACCTTAATGACTTGGAGAAAATCTGCAAAGAGGAGTGGGACAAAATCCCTCCTGAGATGTGTGCAAACCTGGTGGCCAACTACAAGAAACGTCTGACCTCTGTGATTGCCAACAAGGGTTTTGCCACCAAGTACTAAGTCATGTTTTGCAGAGAAGTCAAATACTTATTTCCCTCATTAAAATGCAAATCAATTTATAACATTTTTGACATGCGTTTTTCTGGATTTTGTTGTTGTTATTCTGTCTCTCACTGTTCAAATAAACCTACCATTAAAATTATAGACTGATCATTTCTTTGTCAGTGGGCAAACATACAAAATCAGCAGAGGATCAAATACTTTTTCCCTCACTGTAAATGTTGTATGAAATTCATTCACATGACCACAGCAACCAAAGGTGCTAAATTCAACCACAATATTAAAGAACCCATGTTTGAATATAAATTTCGACCCCAAATCGTTAATATTCATAAAATCACCAAATTCATACATACTCTTTGGTTATTTCGGTAAAGTCACATAGGTACAAAATAAAATAAATCACGACGTTTCGGGCGCAACACAAGCGTCCATCATCAGGTAGGAAAGCATGGTCTGCTGCTGAGGCAGACTGTTTTATTTTATTTTATACCTACTTGCCGTTACCAAAAGAACCAATGAGTATGGATTACTGCAGTCACGAAAGCTTCAAATAAAATTATTAAATGTCAAGTAGTCAGACGCCATTTTGATAAAAAGAGTCTGTGCAGTCCACTCAGATAATGTGGTAGCTATACAAGTTTGTTCATGAACTGGGAATATGCAAAGAAGCATTGAGTTTGTTTTTATTTATTTTCCAAACTATAAACTATTTTACCAGATAAGGCCCAGTGAGCTATATAGCTCTTTTTCAGAAGTGACCTGGCCACAAATGATAGCTCAAACAAGTCTCTTATCATGTGGAAATTAAAAAAAGCCAAATACTCTCAACGTAGGTTTCTAAATGTGAAGAGAAAAACCTAAGGATCTGGAGAAAAATCCATGCAACGACGGGGAGAATATGGAAACTCCACATATAAAGGCGTCATGGTTGGGATCGAACCCACAACTTCCAGTATAGCGGGCGGGGTAGTTAACATCTCGCCATCGTGGTGCTCTCAATTCTACATCTCCTCTCTTGAAACACTTATCTCCTCTAACTTCCCCCACCACTTCTTCGCCGACATCCAAATATTCTTCTCTTTCTCCACATTCGCGCCGGACCTCTCTTCTCGCATTTCAGCCTGCCTAACCGCCCCTCAGTCTTGGATGTCGCTTCACTTTATTGCCATCAACCGCTCTAAAACCCAGGTTCTCTTTTTCCCCATTGCTCTTTCCCCTCCACCCACCACCCACCATCACCTTCCTCCCCCTCTTCTCACCCCTCCTCACTCAGTCCACTGCCAAACTACTAATACACTCACTCATCTTACCTAGTTTAGACTACTGCAATTCTCTCCTTGGTCTCGCAGCCTATGCATTCATTCCACTCCAACAGCTCTAAAATGCGTCTGCACACTTCATCTACAACTTACCACACTGAACCCGCACCTCGGCCCTTCTTATAGAAATGCACTGGAAGGGATAGCATAACTCCAGGCATCAGATTTAATAATCTGTATCTCAGACTTGGAATTTGCAGATGCAGGTTTGTTATCTAGGGGCTCATCTGGACCATTACAGATTTTTAAAAAGATCTATAAAGCTCAATGGGCTTTAGCCAGGTAATACACTTGACTTTAATTATTGTGGCTTGACATTGGGAACATGATAGGCTTTTCTAAAACACAGTTGATAACAGTAATGAAGGATGGAATTCACATACCTTTATCACAGGTGTTAGTCTGAATAAGTTATGTGGCAGTAGTACAGAGCTGTGATATCATGTATCAAATTGTGGCAGATGTAGCCAAGAAGAGACCATTTCAATTGGTGGACTGCACGTGCAGAATGTAGATTAGAAGAGATATTGGAGCAGCACCTACAACTATTGCCAGATAGTGAGACATTTAAAGGGCAGACTTCAAGGTCCCTTCCATAACATTGGAACATAAATGTGTTCCTTTTAATATTTAACTTTCGATGTTATATTCTTCATGCCGAAAATACATTTCAGTTCTTTGATGAAAAAAAAACTGGCCCCTCTTCAAATGTCACTAACAGGTGTATATTCTGAAAATAGATGTAAGTTTGCTATTCATTATGTTGATGTTGTAACATCAGCCTTGTGCCATTGTTATTTCTCAAATTATAAATCATTATTATCTGATGATTTAACCTGGAAAGTAACGCAAGTTTGTCTTGTGTTGAACCTGCAACCTCAGTCTGCCTTTTGATGTTTTGTAATTTAGTTCTTTCTTCAATCATAAGAATCACTATCAAATATTGAAGATGCACTTTATTTTAACACACTTAAAGGCCCCACCTGTATCACGTGGTGTTCAAGCAACAATGAGCTTGACTCCATGCCTCAGTCACAGGGTCATGTGTCTCAAAAATATTTTGCACATTATAAATAGCATTATTATTAAGTGGCTTATGGTAAAAAAATATCAAACAGAAAAATCACTGATATTTCGTTCACATGTTTTCGTGAACATTGATATTTTTCTTTTACTATTTAAAAGATCGATGTCTTTCCTATCCATATCATCTTGCCTAACCTGTATATTTGTGTGACTCGAGAGGCACAAATATTCACTTAATCTTTCGCTGTCAGATGCTTTGCTCATTGTGAGCAATGTTCCTTCTATTTCTGGCGAGTGGCAACTGCTTGATACTAAAAGCATCATTCTCTAGCCTTTTTCATTGAGATAAATCCTAACACTGCTGGTGCCAAATGATGGCAAGTCCACTTGGCTTGAGATCTTCCTATCACACATCAAGAACCCCACCCACCGATTACCTGTGCCACAGCAAAAGTTGTGATTGTGACTTGTGTAAGTTACATAACATGGTTGTGTGTGGGCTCCACGAACATGCACGTGCACAGACTTACCTTCCTGTGCACAGAGATCCACTCTGGTTTGTGGAGAGGCCGGAAGCCGACTCCAGCCACACCAGACCGCGCTCTGCCCACGTGGCTGTGAAGCAGCCCTCGCGTGGCCACTGCCGCCACATAATCTCGCATTTCAACTCTAACCTGCACCGGTGGGTAGAAGTCGGGATTACTGCTGTCTGAAGTAATATAATCCGAATTTTTACAATAAATCTGTGTGCATTTTACATACAGAATAGTGATGTAACATGACCCACAAGGCATAATGGGAGGACCAAGCTCATGGTCACATTTACAATTTTCGCTGTTTAAAAATCCCCTTTTGCGTGTAGCATTACTCTTAACATGCCTTCTCATACACTGGTCCTTGCCTCGAGGCATTTTGGTGTCGCTCCTAACCAAGCACAGGAATGAGTTCCATAATTGAAGTTTTGAGCAACACTGAGATTATCTTATTCAGAATCAAATGATTATAAAGGTTCCCGTAACTTTCCTATGCCTGCACATCACTTTTTGATATCAATGGATTATATATGTATTTTTAAGTTTGTGTTCTGTAAAATTAGGGCAATGGAAAAAAGCATTACTGAGGGATGTTCAATCCAAGTTAGGTTAAGGATACTTTTCTTATCCACTCGCCAATACTAATTTCCCAAAGGAAAAACATTCCATAAAATGTGTGCATATTACGAGGGTGTTTGTGAGACTGCGTGCATACCGCCCAGTCAGCTGTGAGACAATCCGCATCACTCAGGTGCTGTGCAGCCGCACTAACATCCTCAGCATCGTGCAGGAATCCCAGGTAGTTCTGGTGTAGGTAAAGTGTAAAGAGCTCGGGCGACATTTGGCTCCTCTCCACCACGTCCTGCCAATGTGTCCAAATCACAGGTGCACACGCATTCACAAGTACACACAAGCATGAGCATGCTTGCATGGATACATAATTTATGCAGCTATCAACAAGTGTAGGTACACCTGCCGAATTCACTTTGAGGGAATGAATACCAGGAACAGTGAAGATTCACTGACATTAAATCCCCAGACAGACCCAGGTGTTATGTATGCAGCAGTAAATACATTATAATGCAGGATTAGGTGTTTTACAAGTCAGTAAAGATTGTTTTATTGCCAAAATGAAGTAACATTCAGTCCATTGAACAATGAGCTATCTCAATTAATATAACCCAAACACAATTGTTTAACCGGGGAAAACACTGAACAAGACAATGTGTAAAGTACATGTGTATTTAGTTAAGTATACTGTACAGTCAAACTTATTTTGCTAAATTGATTATTTGCGATTTTATATACAGACACCTAGATGCACGTGGCGATGTGACACATACTTGACACGCTCATGCACAACGCAAATGTGTACAGATGTAACACATACTTGACACACCCAAGCACAAGGCAAATGTGCTCAGACGTTACCGGATGCATCTTGCTGTCCACTCATTGAGGACGTGCCATACGGACACCGAGACGGCGTATCGTTAACCATCAAGTGACCATGACGTTTTGTGTCGAGGTAAATAAAACTTACAAATTTACAATAAAGTTTATTGATGTTTAATTTAATAAATTATATTTTGTTGTATTATTTGTGTTATTATCTATTTGTAGTATTGTACAATTAAATAAGTAGATGGTTATGAATGTTTACGGAAGAGGATTAATGTTATGAAATATTGAATTTTCTCCCATATCATCAGTGAGACACGGAAACCTTTTTCCCAAATAAACATTATCTACATTTGTGAATTTTACTCTTGTGCAGATTTACAAGAACAAAGTCCCCGAGGATGTAGAGGCCTTACCATGTGTGTATGGGCAGTCCTCGAATTACAAATTTTGTTCCTGGACCCATTCGCAAGTTGAACGGTTTGTATGTCGGAACACTATAATGTATTGTATTTAAATGCCCATACGGTCAGTGTGATGAAATGTGTTACGGTTCAGCAAAAAAGGAAAGCATCGTTAAATGCATAAATAAGAAGACATTGTACCTTTGCATGTAACACTAAAAAAAAATTGTATCGTGAATAAAAAATAAAATAAAGAAACATAAGTATAAACAAATCAGTTTTATGTTCACTTACCTTGAGTCCTCATACTGGCTTACTTGTCGAAAGGGGTACAATGAGTAACCACAAGTGCACACAAATATAGCGCACGCACACACACACAACAACCGCCATTCGCAACTAAGTGGCGGTGACATCACGACAGCGCTTATGCCAGGCTATATGCACTGTAAGGCCATGTGAGGTGTCAAACGTCCACTGGCAGGTCACGGAACAGACCTAAGTGCCGTGAGTTGACAGATAGAGATGACTGGCCAATGCACCACCTGTGCCCCCTACTGTGTCAACTTGCTGTTTTAGCCGCCAGGTGCGCCGCTTTGTTATGAGCGTCACTCCTCTGCTCTCCGTTGTTATTGTTGGAGGGCGACTTCCTTCAACTGCCCAACAGCATCCTTCAAGAGCCTCCTCCACAGAGGTCGATCTTGACACCACTGGTACCAGTCATAGGCAAGTCCACTCAGCTCCACATCCTCTCATAACACATCACTCCATCTCTTCTCTAGCTCATAGGCCACGCCCATTTAGCCCCCTCTATCCGGCCGAACAAAAGCTGTTTTAGGCATGCGGTGGCTGGACATGCGGGTTACATAACCCAGCCAACGCAGCCTTGCCTGCCGGAGGAGTTCACATATGGATGTCTCCAGATCTTTCAAGGATTTGTGAGCTCCTCACACAATCCAGCCCTGTTAAACCCAGGATGGATTGTAGGCAGGCCAGAATAAATGTTTCTAACCGGCGAAGATATTCCATTAGGGGGGTCCACGTTTCGCAAGCGTAGAGAAGAGAGGGCATGACTGTGGCCGTGAAGACCTGAAGCTTCATGTGGAGCGACAGATCAGGTAGCTTCCATACAGCGTTACGTTGTGTGGAAGCTACCTGGTGTGTTGTAGTAGACGGACTGGCCCATCACCAATTGGGAGTTGTGGGGGTGGAGTGTATGATGGTACAAAATACCCAGGCACGAGCTTAGTTTTGGTTAGGCTGATGGTAAGGCCCTACCTCTTAGTGGCACACTCCAGGTTCAGCAGCGCCTCCAACTCCTCCTCTGATTGAGCAGCAATTACCAGATCGGCATGCATAACATGGTTGACCAATAGGGAGCCAAAATCTTGACTTAAAGCTTTCGTGACTGCAGGAATTAATATTCTTTGGGCCTTTCAGTAAAGTCACGTAAATAGGTTCAAAGAAAATATAAAAAAACTATGACGTTTAAATCGCAACACTAACAGTTGTTATCAGGAAAAGGGGGTTAGCTTCGAAGGGCAAATTGTTTATAAAAGATTGAAATGGGCGTTGCCCAAATGTCAGCAGCCAATGTTCATGTAAGTGGTGGGCAGCGACCGCGACGGTGGTGGGTTTTCCACCAATCAAAGGGCTGCCAGGTAAAAATTAGTATGTTAATGTAAGATCGTTGAGCGGCCTCCACGGCGAGTGCGCTGAGGTGGCTATGTTGATGTGCGAGATTAGCATGTTAATGGGATATTGCAGAGCAGCAACCTCGAGGTCGGTGCGCGAAGTGGCTGTGTTAGTGTGAGAAACTTTACCTGTTAATGTAAAATCAGAGAGCCGAAAAGAACTATCATCGGCAGGTGGTAGGATGGGAACATCACAGCCAGTTATGACTTAAACTGGTTAATAACGTCTTTCACGAACTACGTGGTCGAAATAGATGTTAAATAATGTGGTAGCCAGAGGACATCCCTGTTGCACTCCAAGGTGAACAGGGAATGTATCCGACTCCCGGCCACGTAGTTTTACCCAGGCCCGCTCACCATCATGAAGGTCCTTAATGATCGTGAGCAGAGTCAGGACTCCGAAAGCAACAACCCAGAGCCCAAGCCTACTGATGGTACCATAGGGCTTGACCAGGTCAATAAAGCAGAGATGTAGGTCTTGTTGGAATTCCCTACACCTTTGCTGTAGTAGACAGACAGAAAATATGGCATCTGTGCAGGACCGCCCTTTCCTGAAACCACATGGAGCTCCGCAAGCCTCTCCTCAGCATGCCTGTCAAGGCGATGTTGAATAATCCTTGCCAGGACCTTTCCCGGCACACTGAGGAGTGAGATGCCCCTGTAGTTTTTACAGTCTGTGCAGTCCACCTTCTTAAAGAGGGGGACCACCAGGGCATCCTTCCACACACCAATGCACACACACTAACAACAATGCTCCGTATAGCCTGAACAAGACTGCTGGGGAAAGTGCTGTAAGCGAGCACCTATGAAGGCTGGCATGGCACGAGAGAATGAGTGGCCAGCACCACACCCGGCTGCCTTTGTCTCCCCAGTGGCGATGTTTACACACCACACCAAGTACTTATTTAACGTTGAGTCGACCTAGAGGAGGCCCAAGACCTGTTCAGATAATCGTCACTGGTGTTGGGCGTGCGCGGGAATTAAACTTGGGATGCCAGGTTGGTAGGACAGCGCCCTAACCGCTACACGACCGCTCAACACCCTCACTTTCACACATACAAAGATAAAGATCCCCCGTATAGGCTGAACATACTGTTGGGCCAAGTGCTCTTTGTGAGCCCCTATGAAGGCCGGCACAGCACATGAGGGAGTGGGTGGCGAACACCACCATGCCGGCTGCCTTGGTCTCCCCAGTGGTGAGGTTTACAAACACCAGGTACTCATTTGAGGCTGAGTCGACCTCGGAGAAGGTCAGGACCGGTTCAGACAATCGTCACTGGTGTTAGCTGTGAGCGGGAATCAAACTCTGGTTGCCGGATTCATAGCGCAACATATTTACCATTACACTACCGCTTCCCATACACACACGTGCGCACGCACACACACAAACACTCACTCGCATCGCAAGGTTGACACATTACATCTGGCGGAGGATCGCTCCGCTGAACAAAATAGTTCCACAGTTCAGTTTGCAAGTACGAGTTCGCGTTTTAAGTCAATGTTAAAAAAGAAAATGGAAGCTGGTTCATAAGTGCGGGTCTTCGTAAGTCGATGACTGCCTGTAGTTAGGTATGTGCGTATGATGGAGTCCACTGATGAGGCATTGAGCTACCGACTTTCATAATGTATACAGCCTTGAACCTGAGCATTTCCAGATCAATGTAACCTTAGTGGTGAAAATTTCCCATTCCTAATTCAGGGGCAAATCAAACCATAAGAAAGCCACTGTTAATTTTCTATAGTATTGGTTACTTTATTAACCTAAAAGATATTAAGGTTTGTGTTCATTACAGACCATAATTTTAATTTACAAACTTCCAATGTCGAACTGTGCACTTTAACTATATCACCTAGCCATATTTAGCTTTACATAAATTTGTAATGTAATTTCCACAATGCATTTTTTGTGAGAGTGCAAGAAACAATTGAATAAAAATCCATGAACATTTGTTTGTATAGGCAGGATGAGCATAATGTAATGAACTACACTTATAATTAGCAATGGAGTTAATGACCATGGATTGGACCCAGACTCGCGTAACTGCACAGTCGGCTACGCCTACCAGTGGAGTAATCAATTCAGGGTCCAGGTCATCTATTCAGATTCGGATGGAGGCTGTACAGCTAACAGATTTAAAACTCTGCTAAAATATGGTTATATATAACCGTTTAATAGTTACTGGTATTGTTATTCTAACATGAATTAACTGAATGTAATGTGAATTAGCTTTTGATTGTTTAATGATAGTAAATATATTCACAGTTAAGATTTTGATAATTAAATACGATTTTAATAACTTATTAAATACAGTAATTCAGGCGTGGGTGCAGAATATTAACACTTCCACTCAATCCCAACTACAGAGATTGAGCAGTGAGGTGTTGTGCAACGTGGGGTCGGTTGGTGTGTATCTGGTCATAATTACAAGTATAAGTTAATTACTTTTGAGTTTTATATTGTACATTTTTTTAAAGACAAGATGGTGACGTTAACACCGTGGTACTTACTTTATTATATATGCGAGTGCTCATTTGTCTAGTTTGAAAATTTCAAGTTAATTCAATGTATATGCAAGTAATGGGAAGGTGATTCGAAAGTGAATGTTATATTATGGATAAAAAGGAGTAAATTTTGTTATAATTGATCACATTTAGTAATATCTAGTTATTATTGTTGTCTTTATTAATCGGCCTGTCCCCTCGTTATGATCATGGGAGGAGAGGGATAGGGCGAGACAGTTACAATTTGCATACACACAAATAAATGTGCATGTCAAATGCTGAAGTTATGAGGCTGTGAGGTCATGTGAAGAGATATTGCGGTTGGGTGGATCAGCACATGTGTTACCTGACCTCAGGATTAACTGCCAACATGTTTCTCTGTTGATGGGTCAAGTGAGTGGGGAGAGCGTGGGATTCTGAGATAGGGCCGTTTTCACCTGCACACATGCACACATTTGCATACAACTGCAATTTGTACACAATTCAACTGGCAACATGCTATTCAATTCTGGTAAATATGAATAAATTATAATTCATTGCTAAGTAAATGCATGCAATTGTCTATTCAATACTGGGTGACTTTTAAATATTACATTTCTATGCATTAAAACATGATATGCATCACCATATACCAATGGCATACCATACTCTGCCCAATAACACATTCAGTCACAATTAATTTAAAAAGGAAACACTTGTATTAACTAAAGTTATTCAAATGTTTCTCGCAAAGGTGATGTTTTCCATGTGGTACTCCGACTTGGAGCATTAGTTTTATATTTTGACTTGTGAAATTATGTGATGCATTTTATACGTTCCATATGTTAAATATGATTTAAATGACTTATCACTTAATAATGATTGTATTTAAATATCTGAAATGTATTGATGGTTTTGCATTAGGCAGAAAAGCCGAGTACTTACTCTTTGGGTCTTTCGGTAAAGTCACATAGATAGAAAAATAATAAAATAATAATACAAAATCATGACGTTTCGATCACAACACAAGCAATCGTCTTCAGGTGAAGTGGGTGGGGCTAGAGATGGAATTTGCAAGTAAATGTAAGATCTCTAGCCCCGCCCACTTACCCTTGGGTTGTACCCATCTCAAACCTTTATAACCTATGGTTGCAGTAGCTCTCTCGATATATTTCTTCCTGCCTCAGCAGTCCACCTGCTGTATTTTTTCACCTGAAGACGATTGCTTGTGTTGTGATCGAAACGTCGTGATTTTTTTTTAATCTACGTGACTTTACCGAAAGACCCAAAGAGTATGAATTCCTGCAGTCACGAAAGCTTTAAGTAAAGATTTAGCCGAGTACTTCTTGCACGTTTGTGTTGTTTTAAATTAATGATTCATTTAAAAAACAGGAATTCTACCTGAATCTGCATTAGTCAAGACCAGACTGATGCTACATTTAAATTCTTACTTAAAAAATGCAAGTAAAATGTTGCATGTAGATGAACTTGTCAGGACTATTCTGAAATTAAAATGAATGGCACTACACGAGCCTTATCTTGCATTATTGCCTGTAGAATACAGTAATGTTCATGTGTGTGTGCACATGAGTACTTACGCTTGCAGTGCAAAATCTTCCCGAGCGCATGGAAAAGGAAGAGTGACACATCCCTTCCCCCGAAGACGGTCCTTGACTCCTCAGGACTTGTGGGGGACTCTGTACCTCGTCGTCCGCGCCTCCCTGGTCCAAACCCAACACCTCCTCGCAACAGCTTCCGCGGAAATACAGAGCTTGTACTGTCAGATGTGTCTGCACACACATGTACGCGAAATGATAAATTCACATCTACACGAACACTTCGCAAACTCCACAAACCACCACGCCACATACAATAATTCCACACATACAAACCTATCCGAAAGTACAATACATCCCGTCATAGCATGAGGTTGCCAACCAACACATGATACCAAGCGAATTAAAGGCATAGAAAATGGTATCTATGAGTACGGGCAGGGACGGAGCCAGGATTTCAGGCCGGGGTGACATTCAACAAATTTTAATTTCAAGAATGATTAGAGAGTCAGGCTGTTGAACTAGACGCCATCGGTTGGCGACACACTCTGACAATGCAGTTGCACGGGGTCCGCCAGACCAAGTGTCGTACACTTATACGCAGAATGTCACCCCTGTCACCCCCCTGGCTCCGCCCCTGAGTATGGGTAATCTTTGACTTACGAATATAATTCATTCCTGAAACCCATTCGTAAATCAAACAGTTCATAAGACTGAACATAATAATGTACTGTATTTAAATGCCCATACGATCAGTGTTTTGAAAAGTTACAGTTTGACAAAAAAGGGAAGCATTGTTAAACTCATAAATAAGAAAAAGATTGTACATTTGCATGTAATACATACTACAGAGTTACTACAACGTAAAATAAAGTAATGTAAACAAAAATCTGTTTTATTTTAACTTACCTTGAGTCCTGATGCTGGCTTGCTTGTTAGAAGGGGCACGAGTCACCACAATTGCACAAAAACATGCACGGGGCACACGCACATAGACAAAGACACACCAATTACAACGATCTCCAGTATAGCCTGAACAGACTGTTAGGGCAAGTGCTGTTGGTGAGCAGTGCCTATGAAGGTTGGAACGGCACACGCGGGGGTGAATGGGCAGCACCACACCTGGCCACTTTTTACTGGTGTGCTAACCATTGCACTACTGCTCTCCACACCCACACACGGGGGGGGGGGGGGGGGGGGGGGGTGGGGGGTCACCAACGACAAGAATCCCTCGTGTATCTTTAACAGATTAGGAAAAGTGCTGTTAGAGAGCACCTATGAGGGTTGGCATTGGCACACGAGGGGGTAGGTAGCCAACACCACGCCCGGCCCCCTTTGTCTCTCCAGTGGTGATATTTACACACTGCACCAGGTACACATTTGAGGCTGAATCGACCTAGGGGAGACCCATTACCAGTTCAAATAATCGTCACTGGTATTGGTCGTGAGCTGGAATCGAACTACAGTGGCCAGCTTCATAGCGCAGCGCTCTGACCGCGACACCACTTTTACACACACAGCAACCACCATTCGCCACTAAGTGGCAGTGACATCACCAAGGCGCTTGTGCCAGTGTTGTATATATAGGCCTTTTCCAAAAATGTATATTAAGAATAATTCTGCCAAAATATATATAAAATGAAACAAACACTTTCACACCGCTACCTCCCACAAGCCACACCAAGCATCTGGAGTCCATTAAATAATAAAACCCCGGGGCAAAGGGAGGTTAATGACTATCTGGAAAATCTCCACGGGGCAGGGGACCATGAAGTCACGACCTCCTCGGACGTTTTGGACAGTTCACAAACAAATCTCCAGCAGGAACAGCCTGGCTTCAAATCAAAACTTGCTGAAATAGCCTTTACACCACCCCAATCGGATTTCCACACAGACGAGAGCCACAGGGCAAACGGACATTAACTGCCGTTTTTTTTCTTTTCTTTTTCTCCTCCAACGGTAAAAGTTCGAAAATTATCAACAAGAATAAATCCACATTATACACCCAGCACTCTCAGATTGAGAACCAGACTGCAGTCCACATTAGTGGCTTTTATTATTACTTATATTACTCTTATTCACCTTATATATTTTTAATTGTATCTTTCTATCTATGTAACTTTACCGAAAGAACCAAAGTACATGAGTTCTGGCAATCACGAAGGGTTAAGTCAAAACTTTGCTACATCTACAACCTCAGGATATCAAAATATAACTCGAGAATAAAAAGCACGGATCACTGGATACAGACAGGGAGCAAAGGTTAATATAACCCTTGAAATACCGGTGGTAACAACTTTGGTACATTACAAATCTTGGTCAAACATAAACCAAATAATAATCGTGAGTTATTAGACCTAGGGCAACTCAAAAGAGATACAAGGAAAATAGGTCAAACACACAAGACCAGATAATATGTATTGCATGGAATCAGAGCCTCCCAGCCACCTTTATCTTCCAACAATTTGACACAACACATGGTAGCAATAAAATACGTATGAAGAGAGGGTGCCTCCCCTTGAGATAGCAAACACCACGAAGGCAGGGGGGGGGGGATGCAAAAAAAACATAAACATGGTGATCGAAAGCAGCCAGTCAAAAGTCAAAAGGGGGGGGCAACCAGGCGGCTGCGGCCACGGGAGGAGAATGAGACAGAGGGCATCTGTTTTTTTTCACAAGAGACGCGCAGAGGGGAGAGAATTTCACATATAAGCAAGGACACAGATCATGCAATTAAGTTCTGCAAGCGGCAGGCTCTGGTAATCTGCCCCCGTGACAGGCACATTAATAGAGGGCTGCATCGGCAGAAGCCACGATTCTACGAAGTCAATGGAAATTGAGTGTTCCTGCGGCAAGCTCCGGGGGTGGGCCCCGCAATCGACCAAGGCGAGGCTTGTAGAGTAGCGATGTGTCACCGAGTACGAGTTCGGCGCTGACAGACGAAGCATCGCCAAAAGTTTTATTCTACATTGAGTGCCAGCTCCCACCAGCAGCTGCACCAAGAGAGAAAGAGCGACGAGCAACGACAAGCAATCAACCTGGAAAAAGCGTGGAAAAGCGCCAAGCATCGACCAAAGGAGCATTGCACAGAACCAGCAGCAGCAGCCAAACTACGAGCGCAATTGTGCACCGCCAGAGAGCATGGAGTAGGAGAGAGCAACCGTGCAAGAGTGTCGGCCCCGTCGACCTGCGGACGAGCTGCGAGCGCAATCAGGCACCTTCAAAGACAAGTGTCGTGCCGACTCAGCTTATCCAGCAGCGGAGGGGCCTGCTGCTGCTGCCAAGAGGGAGAGGGAGCGCCGTGTGTATGACACGCCCACACACACGACTCATCGCCCAGCAGGGAACCAAGGCATTTTTGGTACAAGAAACGCCCCACCTCGGCGTCTGCTTAACGCAAAGAGTTGAGCAAGGAAACAAAACGCCCACCCACACATAACACACATATCGGGACTAATAAGAGTACTCCAAAGTTCTCTTTGTGTTTCAAAAAGCGTGGCCATCCTAAGGTGGTGCGTTAACTATTAGCTGATCGTGAAAAGCACTGCTGCCCATTGAGTTACGTGGATACGGTCGTTAGAAGTATTTTAGTCATTCTCCTTGTTAATTGCATAACTGTACCAATGAATTCATTGCTGAAACTAAACATTTAGAAAAATCTATATTACAAATCTATACATTCACAGGGAGACTATTGTGTTGAAATATTTATTTTGATCACAGAATCTTGCCCGTTAATGCATTGAAGCCTTAGCCAATTGATAAGCATTTGCTAGACAACAAGACACTGCCACACATCATTGTTCCAAGACATTTCGTTAATTGCATAATCTTACCAATGAATTCATTGAGGTCTACCTTTATTTTCAGGACATGTTTCTTTATTACTGTTTGTATGAATATTGTCACATTAATTTTTAAGGACTTTTTTCCCATCGCCGTGAATGCTCACTTTACTCTGAGGAATTAACCGATTGTTCTGTTACCCAGTTTAACAAATGTAATGATTGAGGGTTAAATGTACGGATCAATGAGGAGGACATCTCCTGGAGTACTGTGTTGACATTCCTAGTATACGAGTTCGCATATTAGAGTGTTATGTTTTTGTTTAGAGATTAAAGTTGCTTAACACAGAAGAGTCTGAGTGATGCCTTCCTAAGTTCATGCATAATAATCTCAATTATAAGAACTGTATCCTGCGGAGAGATCTAAATTTTGAGACCTGACATAAACACTAAGACATAATCAGCAAAAGTTAAAGCGAGAATCATTGTATTATCCCGATTGATAATACAACCCTAGATAACGAAGCCCAGCTTAATTAGCATACTTACATCACATTTGCATAACTTCATACAATTCATTGTATTATCCCGATTGATAATACAACCCTAGACAACGAGGAAGAACCTAGTTATCATAATCACATGCATTAGCATAATTACATACACTTGCATAACTTATTACAATTACACCTTCCTGATTATCATAGAATGATTTGCATAATTACATAAATTCATTTAATTTTTATTATTTTTATTAATTTTTCAAGACCCAATATATACAACACCAGGATAGGTCTACTTTAAGGCCACGTGAAGTGTTGAACACCTGCTGGCAGGAGGTCATGGGACAGACCCAGGTGCCATGGGCTGAATGAAATAACCAACCGACGATGCACTACCTGTGCACCTACTGTGCTAATTTGCTGTGTTTTAGCCGCTCGGCGCTCTGCTCGTTGTCAGCGTCACTCCTCTGCTCTCAGTTGTTGCTGGAGGGCGACTGCCTCCAACTGGCCAGTAGCGTCCTTCACGAGCCTCCTCCAGAGGCCGATCTTGACACCGGTGGTACCAGTCATCGGCAAGTCCACTCAGCTCCACATCTTCCTGGACCACATCACTCCATTTCTTCTCTAGCCAGTGCCGCACCCATTTAGCCCCCTCTATCCGGCCGAACAAAAGCTGTTTAGGCATGCGGTGGCTGGGCATGCGGGCTACATGACCCAGCCAATGCAGCCTTGCCTCCCGGAGGGGCTCACCAATGGGACTTTGTCCAGATCTCTCAAGGATGTGTGAGCTCCTCACACAATCCAGTCTGGTTAAACCCAGGATAGATCGTACGCAGGCAAGCCTGAATGTTTTTAACTGGCACGGATGTTGCATTAGAGGGGTCCATGTTTAATAAGCGTAGAGAAGGGAGGACATGACTGTGGCCGAGGAGACCCAAAGCTTCATGTGTAGCAACAGACCAGGTATTTTCCATACATTGTTACGCAGCCGATGAAAAGATAATGCCACCGGACTGATTTAGAGTGAGACCTCTGATGTAAAACCGGAGCTGGTCATAAGCACACTGCCCAGGTATGGAAAACTCTCCACTCTCTCCACAACTGCCCCATCACCAATGGGGAATTGAGGGGGTGGAGTATTTGATGGCCCAAAATACCCAGGCAGGTACATAGTTTTGGTGGGGCTGATGGTAAGACCCCACCTCTTATTGGCATGCTCCAGGTTCAGCAGTAGCACCTCCAACTCCTCCTCTGAGTAGGCAACAATTACCAGATCATCAGCATACATAACATGGATGACCACTACATGGTCAAAGATGTTAAATAATATGGGAACCACAGGGCATCCCTGTCTCACCCAAAGGTGAAGAGGGAATGGCTCTGACTTCAAGCCACAAAGCTTTACCTGGGGCTGCCCATCATCATGAAGGCCCTTAATCATTGTGACCAAAGAGTCAGGGACTCCGAAATCACGAACAGCCCAGACCCCTGGCCTGTTTATGAAATCATTGGTCTTCACCAGGTCAATAAGGGAGTGATGTAGGTTTGGTTGGAATTCCCTACACCTCTGCTGTAGTAGAAGTACAGTGAATATGGCATCTGTACAGGACCGCCCGGGTCTAAAACGTATTGGGACTCCGCAAGCCTCTCCTTAGAGAAGCTGGCAAACAAATGTTGAATCATTATTCAACACTATGTAACACAATTTTTGTTCCCTGGTATTAAGTGTTATTTCCTAATTGCTTATGCCTAAAAAGTATAGAAAATGGCTATTATTCCCCACAAACTTTGCTTTTGTGAACAGGACAGTGATATTTTGAAATGTTCATATTTTTAATGAGAAAACGGGCGAATTTGTGTCTTTTCGTTCACATAAAGTCAGAAAACAACAACATATGAATCAAAATTAACATGTGTAATGGGTTCAACTGAGTCGCAGGTATAGACTTTGGAGGCACATTTATTCAATTCCAACACACGGGGTAACTTCCCCTTAACAGAATAACAACCTAAGGTGATGACCACCCAGCTAACTAACTAGTTACTACGTAACTGTTACTACGGACCAGGACTTCGGCCCGGGTCCACGTGTTGGAGACTCGTTGAACGGAGATCGTAGACAAAGGGTTTCTTCCAGGATGAACAACAACCCTGGTCCCCTCTCGAGACTCGGCTTATATTCTCTGTGGCATGGCCGGCTCCGCCCTTGGCCACGTCCACCTTCCAGAATCCTCGGGAAGGATCTGGGTCCAAATCAAGTGACCCCCCCCAAGCCCCCACTTGGGGCCCCTCTGTCAACTTAACCGGTCACATGTCCTCCCGGGTCAACCAGAGTGTCATGGCCTCACACAACCCCATCCTTCGGGCGGCACCCACACAACCTGTCCTGTAGGGTCGGCACTGCACTTAAAGCATGGTGCCATCTAGCGCTATTATTCAGCGCACACCATGCCCCTCTAGGGCCAGTACTGCACCCACTTCATGGTGACATCCGGCGATGTCACTACACCTGTGTTTATACTAAAGTAATACAAAAATGATTACAAAAGATTTAGAAGCGAGTAGTTTTTCGAGATTTACGATTATACTGTAAATCCTGCTTCTGCCAGGAAGTCTGGACTAGATACCCAACGCAGTCATTGCAGCTACATGAGCCACAGTTTTGAACCTCACCCATTTCCCCTCACAGCATCAGGAGGGGGGACGATGCCAACCCCAGCTGCAAGTGATGTTGAAATTCTTGCTTGCAACTACAGGCAATCCTTGGTTTACGCACATTTGTACGCCATTTTGGAATAACGCGCGCTTTGTATTTAGACCTTTTGACATACGCGAGGCAATTTTCGGAATAATGTCATCCGCAAAGCGACATATGCCACCCTAGCCTGGCACCATAATTTTATGGCGTTGCCAGCAGACAGTGCGATACAATAACTATAACTAGTGTGCTATACTACACAGCATTTCGTCGTGTGTACACCAGCGCTCTTCCCTTTGACTCATGTCTCTCGATGAGATCACACGCTCTAAAGTTTACTTGTGTTGTGTTTAACGCTTTTGTATTTTTTACTGTATTTCTTTATTAAAAAAATTATTTTATCGGACGTATATTACAGTTTACATGATTTTAATTTAAGTATTATATTTTATGTACATGCATTGTATTAATATAAGCTAGGATAATATAGGTGATTATGTCTGCGAGTGTGAGTGAAATCCCCTAACACCCTCCTTTACAATTATTTATGGGAAAATTGCTTTTGACATACACGATTTTTAGATACGCGCACTTTTCCAGAAACGCATCTATCGCGTATGTCAAGGAGTTCCTTTGTCTTTAGCTAGCTGAGACCAGGCTACTGTGGGTTTGAATGGGGTGCTAGATGGACACCCAACACCGGAGTGGAAGAATGGCGGGTGAATCTTACAGATAACAAGCCAATGGTCAGTGGGCAGATCAGCTCCATGGTAGGTCTTGGTGTCAATGACATGGGCACGCACCCACTGCTCCTTCACTGTGTAATCCAGCAGATGTTCTTGCTTGGACCTGGCGTGCATCCATGATGTTGTATGGATGCACCAATGCCAGAACAGCATGTTGGGAATTACAAGCCCATGGGCAGCAAAATAGCTGCATATATTTTGCTGTGACTGTTCCACCTGAAGACGGAAGCTTGTGTTGCCTCCGAAACGTCGTGATTTAATTTAGTTGTTTTATTATTATATTATTTTATTTTACCTATGTGACTTTACCAAAAAATACAAAGAGTATAAATATAAACTACATCAATATAATCAATGTACTCAATATATTCTCCACTAAGCTGATCTACTAACAATAAGTCATTATACATTACACTTCTATGTCGCAAAAAATATTACATGCCTCCAACTAATCTTTTTATTATAAACTGCTCTAGACAGACCCCAACATTGAATTATAAACTGCGTTACTATACACTACCCTATACCTTAGATTATAATATTAGACTTGTAATATTACACTATGTATTATTTTACCAACCCTACTGAATACCACACTGCTGTATATTCACTATACAATTATGATACTATATTACAAAATAAATTAGATTAGTAGCTCTGCTTAGTGGATAATATAGTGAGTACATTGATTATATTGATGTAGTCTTAGCTCTTTCGGTAAAGTCACGTTGAAGGGAAACAATAAAATAAATATAAAACAATAAAAATTCTCACGACGTTTCGACCATAACACAAACGGTCGTCATCAGGTGTGAAAAGCAACGGCAAGAAACATTGCTTTTCACACCTGATGACGACCGTTTGTGTTATGGTCGAAACGTCGTGAGAATTTTTATTGTTTTATATATATTTAATTATTTTATTGTTTCCCTTCAACGTGACTTTACCGAAAGAGCTAAGAATATGAATTACTGCAGTCACGAAAGCTTTAAATCAAAATTTATATTGATGTAGTTTATATTTAGTTCTTTCACATCGGTTTATTGTATGATAGTTGGGTAGTTGCAGTTCTTTAGCGTCAATATACTCTATGCCTCTGATATGTAAACTCTGACTTTAACACAACTACTTCCGTGACCATTTACATGCCAATTCCTCACATTAACATCATGCTAATATCCCTGTTACATGCTAATTTCTGACTTTAACATCCTGCTAATTTCTCACATTAACATAGCTACTTCAATGCTAAATTATTCTGTTGATATGTAAACTCCTTTGTCAAGGCGCTCTGCTACTCCCACCCAGCTTAAAATACGCTGCCAAGCTGAGCAGTGTTCATTGGAGCACTGTGATGACTGTGACGTTGCAATTATGGCTTTATTTTTTGGTGATTTCGAAAAGTTTTTTGGTTTAGACATGTTTGTTTTTATTGTAGTACGGAGTTAGACTGATGGCCTTAATATACGTTTTCTTGTAGTTGTTGTTGTTTGACTTGCATCCCACTGGGAATTTTTGCACACAGCGTTGGTGTACGGTGCTTTTTTTCAGGAATATTTTGCTGTTTTTTTCATGGATTTTCTGTTTGCACAGTCACATAGTCACTTTAAGATGTTTTTCTTGTTCGTGTCTTTGTTAATTTTGTTTGTTGTGGTTGCACCCGATTCAAGAGCCAAATGGCTCACAGGGCTATACCAAAATAAATAAACTGAAAACTGTCTTTCCGACATTTTTGATTTAAAGCTTTCGTGACTGCAGTAATTCATATTCTTAGTTTTTTCGGTAAAGTCACGTTGAAGGGAAACAACAAAATAATATATTTTATTATTTTGTTGTTTCCCTTCAATGTGACTTTACCGAAAAAACTAAGAATGTGTCTTTCCGACAGTTCTGTTTCTTCACCTGAGGACGGCTGCTTGTGTTGTGGCTGAAACGTCGTAAGAATTTTATTTTATTATATTTTTATTATTTCCCTTCTACCTGACTTTACCGAAAGAACCAAAAAAACACATCGATATATATTTGATTAAATCTGGTTCGTAAGTGTGGGTGCTCGTAAGTCGGGTATTCGTAAGTTGAGGAATAGCTGTACAAGAAAATCTCTGGCATTTATGCAAATTAACTACGTATTTTTTAATAAAAATGTTATGGATAGTGAATGAAAATAACGATATAATTCAGTTTAACGTGTAGGCTTTCGCGTCCAATATCATCCATAATAGAGGTTTCTTGGGTTAAATTGCGTAAATATATAAATTGTCGTTAAAACCCGTCACCACCCGACACAGCCAACTAGTAAGGGTTGTCACGAAAACAGAACATGCCAATTCGTCCCTCGTATAGCACACCGATGATGGTTGCTTGTGTTGCAATCGAAACATCGTATTCTATTATTATTTAATTAAATTTATTTCTAAGTGACTTTACCAAATGAACCAAAGAGTAAATTCCTGCAGTCACGAAAGCTTCAAAAACTGCTCATGTTGTTTACAGGTAACGTTTAAAGGTTACTCTTCATCACCGCATTCATGAAGAAAGTGAAGCTGCTGGTGCACTCACCACACTGCCAGGCAAACTGCAGGGCATTGATAGCACCACGGATATCGCCTGCACTTGATGCACACAGGTCTTGCAGAACCGTCTGATTCAGCACACATGGCCGCCCCCTTACCTGCACAAAGACAAATATCCCCTGTATAACCATATAAACATTTGGAGCAAGTGCTGTTCACAAGCACCTATAAAGGCCAACACGGCCAGCATCACACCCGACCGCTGACATAAGCACACATGGACATACATCGTTCGTGTACCTGCGAAAAAACTGAATTCCTACCACTAACCATTGCCATCAACTTAGTCGATATAAAACACAGCTTAAAATCCCAATTTCTAATCACCATATCTACAACTACCAGAAACTGCAATGTCCCACCCAAAGCTGAAGCTAACCTGCATAAGCCTCATACTCCAAGTAATTTCGAACACATTGTGCCAAACACTTGAATGAACCTCAACCCACTTTGACATTTCTCTTCTTTAATCAAATTCCTACCTGCCATCATTCAAGTTCTCCAGCAACTAAAATAACCTCATCTGGCTCCAACTCCTGCTAAATGCAAAGGACGCGAAGGACTTATCCTTTATATTCTTGGTTCTTTTGGTAATGATGATGATGATTGCTTGTGTTGCAGTCGAACCGTCGTGAGAATTTTATTTATTATATTTTTATTATTTTATTGCTTCCCTTCTACGTGACTTTACCGAAAAAACCAAGAATATGAATCCCTGCAGTCACGAAAGCTTTAAATCAAGACTTATCCTTTCCCAGCTATGTTTCCTCTCATGCCCCATATAGTCCACTTGGCACACTGTGTGGCTCTACCGCGACAGATGTTAAACCTTACACATATTTTGGTATCTGGGTTAATTCCGAAATGAATATTAACTCATATACTCATCAAACTGGTCAGGTTTATGGTGCAGTGTAACAATCACCGCAACATCACCTAATCCCGGTTTTCCCATATTCGGGTGATGTGTTCTCATTGACAGTAGCATGTGAGGAGTATGTTAAGCTGCTATCACATATGTTTCCAGACAAGAGAAAAATTGCACAAAAATAAATTATATTGTGCTCTAAAAATGGTAAGACAAACTTCCAAGAAACAAGCCACCCCCATTATTCAGAAGTGCATGACAATGGGTATCCATTGCTTAGTCATTACATAAAAAGGAAGATTCCCACCTGGGCAGTTTCTGCAGAGGCCACACGCATCAGCACTTTTAGTAAGCTGGTGGGAGACACTGGGTTGAAGCTGCACTCAAACACCACACACAGATACACACTGAGGTGACTCTAGGGAGGCAGTTAGTGATTCACTCCCCTTTCCCCACCCATCCTTGTTAATAAATCTATTAATTACATTCAGATTAAGACTATATTTGAAAGTCGTGTTTTTAGTTTTGTTATTAATGTTTCGTCTCATTTGTCCACACCACTATCCTAAATATAACAGCATAAAAACGTGCATATACTGTGGAAATCTATACAAAAACCTTCATTTTAATGTATGTCTCAAAAACCTCTAGGGTGCTTCCCGACAAGGAAGAAAGCTGACATTTGGTACAAAGGTAGCTTTTAGGCCACAAACAGCAAGGAAAAAATCTGAAAAATCTGGGATTTTTCATTTTAAGGCCCCCAAATCTCGATTTAAGTGCTCCATAAACATGTTTGCGTGTAAAATTTTGATTTAAAGCTTTCGTGACTGCAGTGATTCATATTCTTGGTTCTTTCGGTAAAGTCACGTTGAAGGGAAACAATATATTTCATTATTTTATTGTTTCCCTTAAACGTGACTTTACCGAAAGAACCAAGAATATTTCGATTTAAAGCTTTCGTGACTGCAATGATTCATCTTCTTTGGTTCTGGAGTGAAAGAGCCACGTTCACTCCAGCGCTGTCCTACCAGACAGTCTCGTCCCTTCACCTGATGAAGGCCGCTTGTGTTGTGGCCGAAACGTCGTGAGAATATTATTGTGTTATTTTATTTTATCAATTTATTATTTTATTCTCATTCTACGTGACTTTACCGAAAGAACCAAAGAAGATGAACCAAGAACATGTTTGCGTGTGTCATTCATAAACTGTTCAAAATATAAGATCGCGGTTTTGTTTGTTTCATAGAGCGTTAAACAGCAAATAAAATTAAAGTGAGAACCATTGTTCTATCCTCTTTGGTTCTTTCGGAAAAAGTCACGTAGGTATAAAATAAATCACGACGTTTCGGGCTCAATGCAAGCATCCGTCATCAGGTGGGAAAGCATGGTCTGCTGCTGAGGCAGACTGTTTCAAAAGGTTTGAAATGGGTGTAGCCCAATGGTCATAAACGAAGTGGCCGGGGCTAGTGATGTTTATGTGAGAAATTAGCATTTAACTGTAAGAACGGAGAGCGGCCTCCTCGACGAGGGCATGGAAGTGGCTATGTTAATGTGAGAGATTAACGCTCTATGAAACAACATTTTTTTGGTGTAGTTGTTAGTGTCTTAACATCGAAAAAATTGTCAAATAATCATATCAGGTTAATTATTATATTAATTGAAAACTTTTTCCTGGCGAAGACAGGGTTTATTAACTCGTTATTATATACAGTGGTACCTCGGAGATCGAACTTAATTCGTTCCAAAACCGTATTCGAACACCGAATTGTTTGAACACCGAATCAATTTTCCCCATAAGAATGAATGGAAATAGCATTAATTGGTTCCCCACCCAAGGATGCTCCTATTATGGGCCATTTTTACACAAAGTTTACAATATTAAAATACAGTACAGTACATAAAAGCATACAAAAACAAGAAACAGTTATAATTAATAGAATAAATTAACATTGAACTTCACTTTACCTGTAGTAAGGAGAGTGGACGGCTTGAGTGGAAGGTGGTGAGGAGGGGAGGAGGAGGTGTCAGTGTTGCTTGGAAGGGGAGTCCCCCTCCATAAACACGTTGGGTAACTGCCCTTCTGGGGTTCTTTCTTTTTTTTGCCTTTTTTCGAGCACTAACTGTGATTCACTTGAGGGCCTTTTTACTAAAAACTGATCAAGAGAAGATTGTTTCTGCCTCCGTTTTAAGATGTTTCTGAAATTACTCAATGCATTATCATTATAAAATCACCTGCTCTGCTGGCTACTGCCTTATCTGGATGATATTTTTCTACAAAATTGTGTAACTCAGCCCATTTTGCCACCTTTGAAAAAGGGCTTTCGTGTAGAGTTTTTTAAAGTTGGAAATTACCTGTTGGTCCATGGGCTGGATGAGAGGAGTCATATTGGGGGGGCAGTAACTTGACAGTTATAAAGGACAGAGCTACGCGTAAACTGGGTCATTCGCCTTTGTCTCGGTCGCCCTGGATACGCGGCTCGGCCCAAACAGGTTTTTCCAGTTGTTTGACCTCCGAATTTTTGTTCGATGTCCGGGGTAAAAAATGGCCGAAAATTTTGTTCGACCACCAAATTGTTCGAATTCTGGGGCGTTCGATCTCCGAGGTACCACTGTAATTATTATTCATTATTTTTGTATTTACTTGTGTGTTATTAATGTATTATATAATGTATTAGCTTTACTACCCGGCTTCGCCCGGGACTTGGATTCACCACGCTCGGCCGCCTTTGTCTCCCCAGTGGCAATGTTCACACACCAATTAATAGCTTGAGGCTGAGTCGACCTAGGGGAGGCCCAGGACCGGTTCAAATAATCGTCACCGGTGGTGGCCGTGAGCGGAAATCGAACCCGGGTCGCCGGGTTCGTAACGCGGCGCGCTAACCACTTCACTACAATGCGTTATGCTTCCACATGCGCGGGTCACATGACAGATTTGACGTCACAGCTCACTTGCCGTGCAAAATTTTTGTTGCATTATTAAGCTCCCCCCCCCCCTCCCCCCCCCCCAAAAAAGTGTATTTGTATAATTTTTGCATGGTGTACAGTCTAGAAAGTACCCACATGGCAAATTTCAAGTTTGTTGCATGTCGGGAAGTACGCTAAACATTTTGAACAGACACACATAATCACAACTTTGCCTTTTATATATATGGAGATATAATAATTATTGATAGATTTTCGCATTAATGAAGTTATTATTGGCTTTCACGTTGTCTAGAGGTGTGTATTATCAATCGTAATGTCAATGATTCTTGCTTTATCAATATAGGAGAGACGTCCAAACTCCAAATATACAGGCGTCAGGGTCAGGATTTAACCCACGATATCCTGTATACCAAGTGAGGTAGTTAACATTTTGCCACCTCGGCACCCCTTTCAGCTAAAAAGGAGTTTTATTCAGGATTGTGGTTTTGAAAAGAATAACCTCGTCCGCAGGATGGGTGGGACCCAACTTGTGTACCTAGACATTCTGATGATATTATAATTATCTTCAAGGAAAAATTATTTCGGCAAATATATATTCTTGATGTGGACTTGAATAACACAAACAGCAGACTTGGTCCTCACCTGATAACATGAACCCCTAGATCCTCTTGAATGCCACGGGGGAGTAGGGTTCGGAGGCTGTACTCACTCCCAGAGCAGTCGCTCGCCACCAGCACCAGTGGACACCGGCCACAGATAGAAAACTTTCTAAAATAGCCCATCAGGTTAAAGAGGGAAAGGAATCACAAGATAACAGGAGTACAAGGGTGATGGCACAAGCAGCATCACCAATAGCCCATCATTAAAAAAACAGCTTCATGCACCTCAACATACTGTACAAAATAACAATGAGACGAAGAAGGGATATAATGTACACAAGGCAATGGAAGCCAGCTCTGGTTAGTATGGTGAATTACCAATTCAAATGCTGCAGAATAAAAGGAGCTATCGATTAGTGAAAACGAACAATGTGCTGGTGAAACAGCAACTTTCTTTGGTTGCTTCATTACACATTTTGTGATTAGAATTTTATACATTTCTGTTAATACACACATATTATGATTTTAAATCATTGTAAAATTAACCTATGGCTTGGGAATATGGTAGTACCGTTGTAGTACCACTGCTCAATGGCAAACTGCAATTTTTTACAACTCATAACTATTGCTCTACTACATTGCGACTGTGAACCCTCATGGGACATAGGACTCAAAAGTTCTGGTCAAACCCCACTTCACTTTACCAGTCATCTCTTACCTGAGTACGTCATGCAGGCTAGAGGGCTCCCTGTAAAACTGGTTTGGAATATCCTAGGAGGAAAGAGATAAGCATAGTCATGGATGTAACAGCAAACACGGTGTATGCACTTTGTGTGCGGGGAACAGGGAGTGGTGATTTATATGTTATGATTCCAGTGATCAGGATCGAATATTGGTCATGCATAACACCAGCATCAATATGTATGTGAACCTGTCTAGGGCCTTCCTTATGTCACGGAAACCTAACATGTTATCTGTTGTGTTATGGTTAGCATTAGCAGTGGGATGCAAAGTGCAGCTGGATTTGCAAGGTCCCATAGTCGAGACCAAACTATATTGTTGCATGGTGCCAGATCTAATGATGAGGCTAACCAACGTATCTTTGTGTGAGGAGAGGTCTTACTGTGCTGTAATTATAGCAATCAGGGTTCCATTGCCTGACTATGCATATATAGAACAGTGGAAAGTGGTTGTTGAAACCTGGCATGGTCCTCCTAAGGATAATTCTCCCTAAAATGGATACCTGGTGAAATGGTGTGGTTAGCACCAGCACTGGGAAGGCAAAAGTGTTTAGCAAGCATGGGTACTGAAAAGCTTTAAATTCAGGGTTCTCCCATTTCCTCTCAAAGCCAATTGGACTAAACATCCGATTGCAGGACCCTTCTGAAAAACGTGTTTGAGGTTAAGTCGGACTTTGCTGGAAACATAATTTTCATGGATATTATTGGACTCAATGTAGTACATGCTTTTGTTTGTGCACCAGCAGGTGTGTGTGCATGTGTGCACGTGCAAAATAATGCCTACCTCCAGCAGGATAAGCCGCGCTTCTGGCTCCACACTGGCTTCCCCCCCGTTGAGGCAGAGTGCACGATATCGGTTTGCTCTCAACAGGAACTCCCGGAATAGAGCCACCTGTGTCTGCACACCACTGCCAAAGCCACGAGGCTCCCTCTCCCACCCTGACAAGTGACATCAACTATTACCATAAGCCCGCATGCCCCTATGTTCCTATGGCCAACCTTCATACCTTTAACACTGCATCCTTCAAAACATATTCTCAAATTTGTAGGATCTACAATTACATACAAAGGAATGCATTGTAGTGTACATGATAGGAGACAAAATGATGGTCATTGGTTTAAAATAATGACAGAATTGGAAACCACGGGATAGAATGCATTTGGGAGGAGGCCCATCATGGATGTGGAGCGATGAAATCCACTCGTGTGCCGGCGCTAAGTACATTATTACATTGCATGACTATGGGGGTTGTGGTAGGTTGGGGAGGATTTCGTTTCACAGTGAATGTATCATGGTTGATGATAATATTTGTGATCTTCTGAGACGCACAAGATGATAGTAATGCCTCCCAATGACCTCACAAGATGACCTCATCAGGAGATGCACACATGCTCTGTGATGTCCACATCTTGGCCGAAAATACTTTTATTAGTTGTTTTATTGCCCAGTATTTTGGAACCATATCATGAATTTATACAGTTTTATAAAAGCCACAAAACTGTGTTCTAAAATTGCATTGACCACATGATGCAGACAGGTGGACAGACAGATGGACAGAGCTATTGCAGGAACAATTTCAATCTTAGCTGGATAGTGTAAAATTGATTCTTGAAGCAAATCACGACAATAAATCGATTCACAATGGAGGCAAATCACTAATTACCTAATCAATACAACTTTGCATATTTTTGCAAATGTATTAACTGGTTCCAGCCGGGTAGCAAATACATGTCGGACAGTGAGCTGGTGGCCAAATATCAAGTATAGTGTGTGCAGTTTTTGCAGCACGAGTGTAATTGGTGTGGTGACGTACCAAATGTCTCCTTGCCAAAGCCATTGCCCCCAATCTCGAGTGGGTTAATCCACTCATGGATAATGATCCCCAGTTGCTTGCAGAGAACCTGGAGTGTGGCCGTCTTGCCCGCACCTGCTGGACCCGTGATCAGTAGGATGCTGCCCTGCGAGACATGCGTACAGCGTGTGAGTCCAGGAAGTGCTGATATATTCGTGTAATATGCGCAGCAGTGTAGGTATATAGCAAGCAGGGTGTGAACAATGGTTGTGCATATATGGGTGAAGGGTATGCCAATGTTCAAGAAGGAATTGGGAGATGATAACAGTTATATATGGAGGTGTGCATAATGGTGTAAAGGGTACAGAGGTGTGGCTAAGTAGCACTGGGTGTTCCACATTCACCTTGCGAGCATTATACTGCAAGGCATGAGCTCTTAGCCATGTTTCCACCTCCTCCACCTTCTTCTTGTGCACAGCCAGCTCCATCTGAAAAACAAACACAATGCCAACCACAAATGAAAAACATACATATTAAATAAACATACATGACACAAAAATAAATATGAAAACACTACAGGAATCAAGAGGGGTGAGAGTAGCAGCTGGGTGGGGCGTGGATGTTGTTGCCCAAGAGCAACACCCTTAGCTCTGAATCGGCCAGTTACCTGGTTCAGGACACACAATGTCAGTGCAACGGATTAGTTGTTTGTATGTGTAGCGCCATAGATGGAACGGTACCTCGTACCGTCAGGGGAGGGGCTGCAGTGCCAGCCCAAGAGGGGAGGGGCTGCTGTAGGCTCAGGATCCCCAGACAGCTAAGCCCCTCGGCACCCCCAACGGAGGGGGGGGGGGCTTCGGGGGTTCTAGGATCCCACGCAGCCCCACCCCTCAATGGGCAAGGGGCATAAAAGAGGACCTCCCCAGCAGATACGGGACCAGTCGCAGCCGAAGAACGAAGACCAGCAGCTAGATAGGACCCTGGACCCCCTCGCCCCACTGTCCTTGTAAGGGCCAGGACGCTGTGCGGGCCAGTGGTGGGACTCTGGGACTCCCGGCCCCACGCCCTTGTAAGGGCGAGGTCCGAGGAAGCCAGGGTCTAGACCTGCACCTTGGCTGGGTCGGGTCAGGGTAGCCTCCCCTAGGGTAATTATAGCGGAGGACCCGAGAGTGTAGCCAGTGTCACGGCACGCTAGGAGTAGGCTGTGTCCCTAGGCAGTAACAGTGTATCAGGACTGGAGTGCTGTATTGTAATAAAGAAGTTGCCTATGCAAAGTGTCTCTGGAAAACATTACATATGCATGTATGTTGAACTTCTTTCGCACTGTATGTAGCCAACCGTGCTAATCGGAAGTGCTGTATGAAGCATGAGGGGACCACAAACTTAAATCACAATCATAATCTTTATTTATAGGAATCCAATCAGCAATAAAGCTCTTTTTCAAAGATGTTCAGTAGGGGCAGGTCATGTGCCAACAATACAAAAAAACAAAATACCCCCTCCAACAGCAGACATCCCCCAGTACAGGCCCTCCATTGCATGGCAGTCTGTATATGCTCCTTGTCTTCACCAACCAGCACTTACCAGCATACTGGTAGTGCCCCACCAGCCCCAAAGCAGGTCGTGACCTCAGCTGAAGATTATTGGCTGGCCACACACAATCGCGATCACAAAGGTGGCCAATAGAGGTCGTGGACAGAGAGGTGGGACCAGACCTCAACCAGGGCCAGTCACTACAAAACACCCAGAGACACCAGCAGGGTCCAGTGGGGGACATCAAAAGGAAGAGGGCACCCAACAAGGTGGGGGATAGGCTATCGTAAAAGGATACCATGAGCGGGTAGGGTTCCCAATACACCACCGCGAAGAGACAAAGGGAGCAGCGCAGGTAGACGTCCATATCACATGTGATCGCTACCCTGCCGGCAGTCATGTTGGAGTCCAGGTGGGACTCGGCCTCGAACAAGGCCAAGTCGCCACAAACATTTTCCGTTGCCCGGGGGGACCTGGGGGCAGATAGCGAGGGAACCACTCGATGATGTGGGGGACTCAGATAGGACAGATGGACGGGAGGATGGACTGGTCAGGGTGTCCTGATTCACTTCTCCATGAGACACATGGGCAGTGGCACAGTCAGACACCCATACTGACCGCCATCTTAATTTTATCTTATTTTATATTTATAGAGCACCTCAGCTCAAGGTGCTTTACATGTGCTCTACATAGTTTAAAAGCGGTAACACAAACTGACTGATTATATGGCAAGGGTGTACAACGGCCGAGGAATAAGTGGCCATAACAGAGGGCATGTGGGGTCACAAAAGGGCAGGGGAGGGATGGAACTCAGTGGAGGGATGAGGGAAGGGAAGAGGAATAGAATGGACAATGGAGAAAAGGTGAGGCTTTAAGAAAGGAAAGAAAGGTGATTAAGGAGGGGGACTTCTTAATGTACAGGGGAAGTTGATTCCAGTGGTAGAGTGCAAGGAGGGAGAAGGACCGAAATCGAGATTGGGCACAGGGAGGAGGGCCTGAGCGAGATAGGGAAGATTGTGAACGAAGAGCACGAGGCAGGACATAAAAGAGATAAGGGATGCAAGATAAGGTGGGGGAAAGGCCAAAAGAGATAGTGTAAGGTATTTCAAAAGACAGCCTTCAGGGCAATCGGGCTGGGCGTACTGGCTCCGGGAAGTTGAGTCCGGCCGATGGGCCCTTACGACACACGCAACAAACAGCCCGCTCACTGAGCGGCCATGTGTTGGTACAGGGCGGCTTCCTCGTCTACCTGTGCACAGGTCAGCCGTGCCTCTTGCTGCCCACGTCAGGGGTTCTGCTGGACAATCTGTGCAAGGCGGCCCATCGTGATATCTCACAAAAATGTCTGGTGGGCATTAACCAGAAACCTGGTTGGCTCATGTACACCAGGGTATTTCTCCGGGGGTTCTGCTGCCAGCCTATGCCAGTCATGCGAAGCACAACCCACTTGTGAAAGGTGCAGGACCTCCTAAGAGGTCAACTCCAAAGACCTTGCCGAAGGGGCTGTCAGGGTGGAAGGGGTCGAGCAGCGCAGCAGATAGCCTGCTCCATGCCCAGATCCCCACCATCTACAGCCATACCCCCTAAATCGATTACCCCCTGAAATTCCCTAATTCCTATCGTCCATCCCCGCCATCTGCTGCCCTCTATACACCCCCCATCTTTACTATGTGTGACTCTTTCTAACCTCATCGCCATCCCTCTACTCTACAAACCCCCTGCCGCACCACCCTACCCCGCTCCCTCCACCCATCAGCTAGGCCTCTGGAATTGCCATTCAGTCATAACAAGTCCGCTTCCACCCTAGATGCCTTTTTCTCAAAACACCTTGAAGCCCGAGCAATTACAGAAACCTGGATATCCACGTTGAATACTGCCATCCCAGCTGCGCTTTCCACATCCCACACCAACTTCATCCATTCCCCAAGACCATCTGGCTCTTCTCCTCTACCAGGATTCCATTGCATCCATCTGTTGTTTTGTTCCAATGTTTCCCTCTTTCGATTTCCAACTATCCTCTTTCTCTTTCCCCTTTGCAATTTAATTTCTAATTCTTTACCGCCACCCTGGTCAGCTCTCCTTGTTCTTTGACGACTTGGATTGCCTTCCTTCCACTATCCTTCCTATCTCATATCCGCTGATTCTTCTGGGAGGCTTCAACCTTTATCTTACATCCCCATCTACGTCCTCGACTTTAATGTCTCTCACTAGCTCTATCAACCTACACATTGTCTCCTCTCCTCCAACTCACACCTCCAGTAGCATGCTTGACCTTATCTTTACTTCCGCTTGCTCAGCGTCGCATGTACTAGTTGACCCTTGTCCTCCCTCTTGGAGGTGTCAAATATAACATCCAAAATTCACCCAACCTTTTCCTCCCTTGATCCCCTACCGCCTTCCCTGCTGCCATCTGTCATGCCCACTATCCTCCCGTTCCTCCTAACTCTCAACTGGTTCCCTCTCATCTGGAATCTTCCCCGACTCCTTCAAAACCACCATCATCCTACCCCTTCTCAAAACCCCTTGCCTAGATCCTTCCATCCCTGCACACTATCACCCTATTTCCTTGCTTTCCTACTTTTCCAAACTCCTTGAACACTTAGTTCACACCCGACTCCCTTCTTAAATATCTTACTCACTCTCTCTATCCCTTCCACCAGTCTGGTTTCTTCCCTCTCCATTCCACTGAAGCCACTCTCCTCGACGTGCACAACCACTTGGCTAACTCACGCCACTTGGGCCTTTCATCTCCCCAATTTTGCTCGACCTGTCTGCGGCATTCGACACCCTTGATCACTCCATCCTCTTATCAACTGTCTAACCTCGGTATCTCGAGCACCCCACTTCATTGGCTCCGCTCTTACCGCACTTCTCGTTCATCCACTGTCTCTTTCAACCATGGTTCTTTCTTCTAGATTTGAAGCTTTCGTGACTGCAAGGATGCATACTCTTTGGTTTTATTCGGTAAAGTCACGTAGATAAAAATTAAAGAAACAATTAAATCACGACGTTTCGGAGGCAACACAAGCTTCCTTCTTGAGGTGGAATAGTCAACGCAGAATATCTGTGTCAGGGACACAGTTCAGAGATGACCGGGATTATATACAAGTTAAGGGGGGGGGGGGGGGGGGGGGGGGGGGGGGGAGGAGTCAGTAAGGGGGCGTGGGTGGGTGGGAGGGCTGGGTTAAGCAGCCCTTTGATAGACTGCTGGGGCAACAACTACTTCAAACTTCACAAGAGTGGGTAAAACCCACCTTTTGTTATGCTGCATGGGGGGTCGGGGGGAGGGAGAGACATGTTGCATGTGTACATCTCCATTTTTTGAAAGCAGCGGCAAACGGCTGTTTAATTATAAGGTAGTTAAAGTTTGCTGTACAACTACTAAGAAAAGGAAATGGCTGTACCAAAAAATTGAAAGGCATCTAACGTTTGACTTGATTTAAAACATCTTTCCAGTGATTGCTCAATTTGAAACCATCCTCTCGGTTGTAGTTGTGTCTGTGTTTGTAAATCTGGATGGCCTCGTGGACAAATCTCTCATAATAACCGGTAGGTTTGCAGAGAACCTTGGTATCGGAGAAAACAATATCATGATCACCCACAGTGTTGTAACAATGATCAGCCACGGCAGAAGAATTAGTTCTGCCGTGTTTCAAATCTTATTTGTGCTCGCGAATTCGGTCAGAGATATGTCGCTTCGTCTCCCCGATATAGCAGTCCCCAAAGATACAACTCAATTTGTAAACATCGGGGAACTGTAAGTCAGGAATAACATCCTTTACTGACGGGATCAGATCACGGATTTTGTGCACTGTGTTGAACCGGACCTGGATCTTGTGTTTGTTTAGAATTTTTGAAATCTTTTTAGCAACGCCTGCTATGTATGGTAACGTGATGATTTTGATCGGAATGTTTCTGTATGGTGGGAGAAACAGCTTGGCGGATGGTACGGTCA